AAACTAGTCGAAATGAAGTAATCGCTACTCTACAATTATCTGACGTGGTTCGGAGTTGATATCTTAAGAAAAGTATAAAAAAGTAGGGAGGAAACTCATTTAAAACTCACCGTGTATAAAACAATTCATAATTATTTTCCTCATAATTTTTTTAGTTTTGAATGGCCGCCATTTTAAAATGACTTTATGAAACTTGACCATTTTCCACCCAGGCCGACATAATGTATTCAAGCACTTGTGTGCCAAATTTCATGAAAATCGGTTCAGGAATTCGGTCGTTATAGCCAATTCATGGGGACCCAGCATCCTCTTACGGCCGCCATTTTGATGACGTCATTACGGACGACCGAGGTCCTTAAAAATTGGGGTCTGGGCGGTTTTAGGTTCAGAAACTTGTATACTATAACCACCTAAAATTGCAGCCTGTCTGCCAGAACTGAAATATTTTCCTGCTACCCAACCTGACTATAAAGGTTGGGTCCAAGCTACTTTTCAGCCACCCTGTATATGCATTGCAAGTAATTTATGTACTGTACAGAAATCTTTTACAATAAGCCAAAGTATCCCTATTATCCTAACAACTTATTTCCAAAATCAAATACAAAATACCTATTTAGTTAAATACAACTGTTGCGTAACATTAAGTGGATTAACTATCACGGATGATAAGGTTGATTTAGTTCATTAGTGTAGGATAGACAAATGACCAAGAAACAATGACCGGCCCCAGAGATTCCAAAGTTGTGTTTTCCTCTGCCTTAGATATGATGGGTCTCGTTTTGGTAATTTGCCTTGTGTTGCAAGGTTCGGTGCTTTCTTTAGCTTTGCCTCTGCCAGAAGAGGGAGATCTGTTCGAAGGTGATATAATTCTACGGCCTGAACAACAAGCTCTTTTACAGGTAATTGTTTGGAATTTTTTTGTTTTCATTGAATGTTACTGAACTTTTATATAAAGGGTATCCCGGAACTCTCTACCAATATTTTAGGGCGTTGTTACTGGGTAAGAAACATAAAATCTAAACATCATATTTCAATTGTCCGGAAGTCCTCAGTTACGCACACAGTTTTTTCAATTACTATTTTTTTCTAAAAAAAAGGTTAAACATACAAAATTGAAACTATGCAGAAACATTTAGGACAACTAGACAAAGCTACAAAATAATTATATAAAATAAAATCTTTATAAAATCAACGGTTTTTGAGTTATTTAAGAAACAAAATTTTAAATGGCCGCCATTTTGTTTTATGAATTTAGAAAATTGTCATAATTTTTGTAGCTTTTTCTAGTTGTAATCAATGTTTCTGTAAAGTTTCAATTTTGTACGTTTAACCATTTGTTAGAAAAAATTAATAAGTGAAAAAAAATGGCAGATGTGTGAGTAACTAAGGACTTGCGGACAATTTAAATATGATATTTCGATATGTTTTTCCCCCAGGAACAATGCCCTAAAAAATTGGTAGAAAGTTCCGGGACACCCTGTATACTTGTTTAGTTGTTTGTCCTGCATCATATTACAATTTGTTTATTTGTGTAAAGTTGTGTTGTATTTGAATCCACCATATTTTGTTTTAGTGTAGATAAAATAGAGAACTTGTAGTCTTGAGCCAAATAAAAAACAGTCTGGTGTAAAATGAAAAGTACCGAATGGTAGTCATTTTACATGTAGTATACAATCAGCACAAAAATGTGGTGTGGTGACTGTTGAAAGAATATTCATTTCATATTTTCAGTAGACCTATGCTTCTAGGTGTCAAATGAGGCAAATGACATAGGTTTCCCTCTGCATCATTTGTTTGTTATTTTTTAATTTAAATTTTTATCAAATTGTATGCCCATTGTAACGTACTTTCTCAGGTTTTTACCTTTGTACAGCATTCAGACCTTTTCGGGGATTTTAGGACTCAGATTGACTGAACACTTGCATGGATTACAACACATTTATTATTTCAGGACTATTTACACAAAAACTATACACAATATATACAAATCTCTTCTGTTCGTGAAGCCCAACCTGTGGCTTCTCCCACTTGCTCCACGGCTCTCAGGAGTCCTAACAGCACGGCTCTACCCTTCTCCTCTCGGCTCAGGCAGACCTTTTCTCACGGCTCCTGCAGTCCTCTCCTTGGCTCCTGTAGTCCTCTCCTCGGCTCCTGCAGTTCTCTCCTTTCGGCTCCTGCAGTCCTCCCCTCTCGGCTCCTGCAGTCCTCTCCTCTCGGCTCCTGCAGTCCTCTTCTCTCAGCTCCTGCAGTCCTCTAACTGGCTCCGTCTCGGGAAGTGCTGGGCGGCTCACCAACCAGAGCCCAAACGCAGCAGCTCCACACGATGCCACCAGTCTCGCTGTCGGACGTCGGCTCCTCTGTCTCGAGAAGTGCTGGGCGGCTCACCAACCAGAGCCCAAACGCAGCAGCTCCTTACAAGGTCGCCTGTCCCACTGTCGGATGCGGACTGCCCGAGAAGTGCTGGGCGGATCGCTGTCCCAAGCGCAGCAGCTCCTCGCGATGTCGCCAGCAACGCTGACGGATGTCGACTGCCCTCTCTCCTAGACGGCACTCTTCTTACATAGTGGAGGTGGGCCTCTTAATCCCCCTCCAGGCGGATTCATGGTCCCGGGAGGCAGCTCCATTGGCCACCGGGGACTTAAACTGAAATAAAACGGATGCTGGGGCTCAACACGCCAACCAGCTGCACCGGGCTCAACACGCCTCTAGTGCCGGAACGGAATGTACCGGGCTCAACACGCCTCTAGTACAGGAACGGAATGTACCGGGCTCAACACGCCTCTAGTACGGGAACGGAATGCACCTAGCTTAACACGCCTCTAGTGCGGGGACGGGATGCACCGAGCTCAACACGCCTCTAGTGCTGGGGGACGGGATGCACCGAGCTCAACACGCCTCTAGTGCTGGGGACGGGATGCACCGAGCTCAACACGCCTCTAGTGCTGGGGGACGGGATGCACCGAGCTCAACACGCCTCTAGTGCTGGGGAACGGGGTGCACCGAGCTCAACACGCCTCTAGTGCGGGGGAACGGAAAGCACCGAACTCAACATGCCTCTAGTGCTGGGGACGGGATGCACCGAGCTCAACACGCCTCTAGTGCAGGGACGGGAAGCACCGAGCTCAACACGCCTCTAGTGCGAGGGAAGGGACCCACCGGTGGCGGAGGCCCAACTAACTAGAGTCCCCCAGGGATGCTCCTTATATAGGGCCAGAAAGTGCTTGGAGGGTGGGGGGAAGTACCCAGTACCGGCCCCCGGCGAAAGTACTGGGCCCTTTTCCCTCAGCACTTTCCCTCAGTCCTTTTCCCTCGTGTCACTGAGCACCTTTTCCTGGTGTTTTCCCTCAGGTCTTTCCCTCAGTGCTTTTCCCTCATGTCACAGAGTACCTTTCCTGGTGTTTACCTCAGGTCTTCTGAAACACTTCATTACACTCCCCCCTTTCTTTATGAAAACAAAGAAAAGAAAAAAAATTTTCTTTCTTAAAACCAATATCCCATTTTAGGTCAAAATAAACAATGAGCTCCTTTCAACTAACACCAACTCTTCAAATATGGAAAAAAAAATCTTCACAAAATGCAAATCATAACAAAACTTCTCAAACGACATTTAAAATGAAACCAATTTATACAGTTTTCCCTTTGTGTCTATAATACTTTACTTTCATTGTCCTATCTCTGAATTTGCGCTCTCTCCTTTGGGGCTTCTGGTCCTCCCTTTGCCATTTCTTAAGCGAAAATGACTTTTCTCTCTCAAATGTAGTATTTACGATCTGGGGTTTCGCCGGTATGGTTCCTTTAAAATCTCTGGTATTAGGAACAAAATTTGATCCTCTGTCTGGCAGCAATGTCTCATCTCTTTCAACGTAAAAATTAAGATTCAATTTAGGTTCGGTAAAATAGATTACAGGATAACTGTCAGTGGTACTCACGGTTTCCTTCCCTGCCTCTGGCACCTGTTGTATTGTGGTCCTTGCTTCTTCTTTCCTAATCATTGCTGACGATGCAGTTGTCTCCCATTGAGACTCCAGATAACTCTTAGTGAAGCTACTGATGGTGTGCTTGGCATCTATGGTCGCAGAAGTCGATGGACGCACAATTTTCTTCAGCACCTCCTGTAACTCATTAACTTTTCGTTTATAAATCCATGATGATTGAAAATTCACGTTATCTTTTTGTGTATGTGGACTTTGGGATTTAAAGTCGTCACCAGACATTATGTTGATAATTTGCCTAATCTTTTTCTAGTTTCAATGAGTCCACCCCTGGTCTGTTCTACAAGTGTCAGTCAATCAGGTCCCTGTTCGGGCGCCAAAATATGTAACGTACTTTCTCAGGTTTTTACCTTTGTACAGCATTCAGACCTTTTCGGGGATTTTAGGACTCAGATTGACTGAACACTTGCATGGATTACAACACATTTATTATTTCAGGACTATTTACACAAAAACTATACACAATATATACAAATCTCTTCTGTTCGTGAAGCCCAACCTGTGGCTTCTCCCACTTGCTCCACGGCTCTCAGGAGTCCTAACAGCACGGCTCTACCCTTCTCCTCTCGGCTCAGGCAGACCTTTTCTCACGGCTCCTGCAGTCCTCTCCTTGGCTCCTGTAGTCCTCTCCTCGGCTCCTGCAGTTCTCTCCTTTCGGCTCCTGCAGTCCTCCCCTCTCGGCTCCTGCAGTCCTCTCCTCTCGGCTCCTGCAGTCCTCTTCTCTCAGCTCCTGCAGTCCTCTAACTGGCTCCGTCTCAGGAAGTGCTGGGCGGCTCACCAACCAGAGCCCAAACGCAGCAGCTCCACACGATGCCACCAGTCTCGCTGTCGGACGTCGGCTCCTCTGTCTCGAGAAGTGCTGGGCGGCTCACCAACCAGAGCCCAAACGCAGCAGCTCCTTACAAGGTCGCCTGTCCCACTGTCGGATGCGGACTGCCCGAGAAGTGCTGGGCGGATCGCTGTCCCAAGCGCAGCAGCTCCTCGCGATGTCGCCAGCAACGCTGACGGATGTCGACTGCCCTCTCTCCTAGACGGCACTCTTCTTACATAGTGGAGGTGGGCCTCTTAATCCCCCTCCAGGCGGATTCATGGTCCCGGGAGGCAGCTCCATTGGCCACCGGGGACTTAAACTGAAATAAAACGGATGCTGGGGCTCAACACGCCAACCAGCTGCACCGGGCTCAACACGCCTCTAGTGCCGGAACGGAATGTACCGGGCTCAACACGCCTCTAGTACAGGAACGGAATGTACCGGGCTCAACACGCCTCTAGTACGGGAACGGAATGCACCTAGCTTAACACGCCTCTAGTGCGGGGACGGGATGCACCGAGCTCAACACGCCTCTAGTGCTGGGGGACGGGATGCACCGAGCTCAACACGCCTCTAGTGCTGGGGGACGGGATGCACCGAGCTCAACACGCCTCTAGTGCTGGGGAACGGGGTGCACCGAGCTCAACACGCCTCTAGTGCGGGGGAACGGAAAGCACCGAACTCAACATGCCTCTAGTGCTGGGGACGGGATGCACCGAGCTCAACACGCCTCTAGTGCAGGGACGGGAAGCACCGAGCTCAACACGCCTCTAGTGCGAGGGAAGGGACCCACCGGTGGCGGAGGCCCAACTAACTAGAGTCCCCCAGGGATGCTCCTTATATAGGGCCAGAAAGTGCTTGGAGGGTGGGGGGAAGTACCCAGTACCGGCCCCCGGCGAAAGTACTGGGCCCTTTTCCCTCAGCACTTTCCCTCAGTCCTTTTCCCTCGTGTCACTGAGCACCTTTTCCTGGTGTTTTCCCTCAGGTCTTTCCCTCAGTGCTTTTCCCTCATGTCACAGAGTACCTTTCCTGGTGTTTACCTCAGGTCTTCTGAAACACTTCATTACACCATAAATAGGTTATATTTTAAGTTTGCATTCATGTCTAAATAACATTTTTCTTTACTACCTACTGTAGGTTCTTCATAACTTCTTTTTTCATAAATTCTATACCAGGGGCATTTATACTAAAGAATCACAAACATTTTTTAGGTGAAAGTTGTCCAAACCCATTTTTCCACCTCCAAAAACATTTTTTTTTACTTGCATACAAAAAAAGGGTCAGAAAACTGACATATTTTCTCCTATTAGCTTGTCAACAACCCTTATACATGGGTAAGCGGTGGGAGTAACTATGATATTTTTTGGGAAAATCACAAAAGATGCAAAATAACTTTATAACCAAAGTCAAAATAATAAAGATTGTGTAGGTATAGTTTTTGTAAATATCTGATTTTCCATTATTTTATGGGAAAACTTAAACATAAGAAATTAATTTAAAAAAAAACCAAATGTGAGATACAATGGATTAGGACCCATATACCAAGAAATTTCATCAAATCGGACCACAGACAGTGGTCTGTAGCTCTGTACACATCAACACATACATACAGATTATAGACAGACACACACACACACACCACATGCACACATAAAAATCACTTTGAAAACCACTTTTCAGAGACACCAAAACTCAATCTCCAAAATTGTTATAAACAAATTGTCTACATTTACTATGTATATGGTTGAGAGTAGAAAACCAAATATTTTTCCAGACCAAAGACTTGCCTGGGGACTCACTCAAGACACTAATAGCTGATCCAACAGCAATATGGCCCAACAAAACCGTACCTTACGAGTTTGCTCCCGGAGAGTTCAACTCGGCACAGCAGGCCCGTATCTTGGACGCTCTCACGGACATTATGTCTGTCAGTTGCGTGAGGTTCGTGCCTCGCACCACCCAACCAGCCTACATTGTACTGCGGAACAACGGACTGGGGTACGGTACTGCTGTTTGTTTATTAATATAATCAGTGAACTCTTCTCATCGAATTAGGTTTTTTATATATGAATTATAAATTCACACACTTGAGTTATTTTATCCGAATAACAATAAATAGTTTTAAGTTTTTGTAATCTAAGATAATTGACTGACCCGAAGCCCTTACTGGAACACTGGGTTATTAAAAAGAAGCCTGTACATAATTACTTAAAATTCTCTTATTTGTTTATGAAATTTAAACAGTTTCATAATTTTAGGAGTGATGTATTTTGCAGGTGTTAAAAAAGTCAAATATTCAAACAAGAACCTCAGTGACGTAGCCAGGATTTCAAAATGGGGGGGGGGTCGACTGACCGCCCGGTCGGGTAGAAGGGAGGTCCAGGAAAATTTTTGAAGATATAGGCCCTAAAACAGTCTTTTTTAGCTCTCCTGGAATTGAAAATAAACATCCCCAACGTCAATACAATATTATTATATAATTTATATCATTATTATTATACAATTTCACGTTTAATTTAACTAAGAAATATTATATTTAGGACCTGAAAGGGGGGGGTCCGGACCCCCAGGACCCCCCACCCTGGCTACGTCACTGAGAACCTTTAAGTTGAATGAAAAATTCCAACAATATTTGCAAAATACTTGAAAATTGTGTTATTTGATAGATCATGAAGAGAAGATAATTAATATACAAAAACAACCAAACTTATTAAAATACCGTAGCTTTTCTATTTAAATTCATACAAACTTGATTATAGGTGTGCAGCTGCTGTTGGATTTCATAATTATGGACCATTAGATTTGTTCCTTGGCGGACCTTCGTGCCAAACTCGTGGAACGATTCAGCACGAGTTCCTTCACGCTCTTGGTTTCTGGCACGAACACACGAGGCAGGACCGGGACCAACATATCACTATTCTTTGGCAAAACATCTTTCCAGGTATAGGATTGATTTGTCGATATGTAATAGTATATTACGTTACTAGTCCTGAAAATAAGTGTTTACCGGACGAGTGTGGTCGTTCCCGTGCGAGACGAAGTCGAGTACGGGATTACCATACGAGTCTGGTACACACATTTTGGACGAGTTACGTACGATAGTTTACGCCATACTACTTAATCCGTACAAATCCTTGTATATTTCCACCAACTAAAGGACTAAAAATCACTAGTCATGAGAGGTTATGTTTTTGTTTATAACCACTAATTGCCACGAAAATACAGTATAATCAGCTGATTGGTGTCCGGTAAAACTCATTGCAGAACAGTATTACGCAATGAAACCCCATTTGAATAAGCTGGCGGCAAACAGCTGTTTTCTGGACTAAATCCTTGCGTGGAAAGTTCATCAAAATAGTGTAGTGTGGCGTAAAGATATTTTACACTCAATCTATCTATTTTGATCTTAGCCAAGTATCTACTGTATTTCAATCTAACTACCTATCATAATCTCAACTCTATTTTTATTGCCCCTTTCAATTAACCTGAATCGCTCTTTCAATCTGAATTTATGTCCTGATTTTGATAAAATGATTAAAACCAATTTAACAAATTTGTTGATTTAAACAAAATAAAGCTATGATAGGTGTATCCGGTTAGTATTTAAATTCAAAATAAAGTTTGAAGGCCTTGTTGCGGCAAAACCTAGCTACTTTGGTACTCATTCTGTCTAGTTCAATATTGCAAAATAATATTAACAATTTATTCAAATTTCTTTTCACATGTTTAAATTTAATTAAATAGGACTGGTATTGAAGCCGTTCACCTTTCAATGAGTAACAAACATGATTATTAGAACAGAAATGATATGGATCATTAACAAATTATGTCCCTTGCCCGATAGTAAATATTAGTGATGGAACTGTCCAAAACATGTTAATGTTATTAATACAGTAAAGTATTCGGGCCAGTTACGTTATTTGTTTGTGTTTATTATCTATACCGCTGTTATAATATTTGTGGAGGCAAATAAGCATTGAACAATGTTTATCTTTCAAAGTATAAAGAATACAAAATCTGTTTGGATGTCTGCTGAAAGTATGATAAAAGCCGTAACCATTAAATTAAAACCCTAAATATTGAAGTTCAGTGTAGTAGTCTCATCTAGAGTAAGTCAAACGTCAAAATCTCTAGCATACATAATCTCATACAGTACAAAATTTATTTAAAGTTGCAAAACTAACAGATTGCGATTTGGTTGTAGGAAAGGAGTTCAACTTCTACAAGCGAGACCCGTCCGAGATTATGACTCTGAACACCCCTTATGACTACAATAGTGTGATGCATTATCGGAACATAGCCTTCTCCAAGGACTCAGTGAGCGAGACGATCATTCCGAAGATGCCGGCCGCGGCTACCAGGATGGGACAGAGGGTGCGGTTCAGCCAGATAGACCTGGCAAAGCTCAACCGGTTCTACCAATGTCCTCCTACATATTACCATGGAGATTATTCTGTCAAATCAGGAAACGAAGATGAAGAGATTGATCCAAAATCTCCAGATCAAACTGAAGACGTGATGCAAATCTCAGCCCTCAAGGAAGACGAGGTGCAGAGCGTTAAGAGAGAAAAAGAAAACAATGCTGCTGTTAAATAGTTTTGAAATTAAGTGGATTCTCTTTTATTTGTATGTGCTTGGTCTGGAATTTAAAACTTAGGTAGGCCTACCGTAGTTATGACACCTGGACTCACGCAAACACATCTTTTATTTTGGTAAAGAAAACAACAAAATTTAGAAACTTTCAGTATATCACTCACTGTTTGGAATGAATAGATATTATTGCTGTATTAGTATAGTGCAGATATTAAATGCAGTTTTATATTTTAATTTTCAATTTCTTATGGTTCAGACATTTTAAATTCAAACAAATGTTCGAATGAGAGGAAATCTTCTGTAAAAGAAAAGACAAATAAAGCAAAAATATTGTTCTCCTGGAGGAAAGCATTTTACTTTTTAATTGGAATTGTTATATGTACAGTCAGTTAGTCAACAAAAACTCAAAATGCTCACCATTAGGCCTTTGCATTAAGACGTTATATTCAATCATCCCGTAACTAAAAGCCATTGGAAATTGGCTTCAGCTACACAGAATAGGAATATATAAAACAGGCTGTATGACAAGGTGTTGATTCAATGCATAGAATATTAAGTAAATTCACTGATTAACCAATAAATTTTTAGATTATCACAAATTACTTTGCAAGTCTTTATTCATTTTTAATGAATCCATACTGTTGAATAAGCAAAACAACATTTTGAAAATTGAAAGTTTGGGAAAAATTGTTTAAGAAATGCCTAATATTAGACTTACAAGTTGAAACTTTAATTCGTTTGACATACAATCTTCTTTCCTCAGTGAGAGTACACAGTCCAAAGTTTAGGTAAAGTCTACAACTACTTAACTTGAGTTCTGATGTTTCATTACTCCATCTCAATCTTCAAGCGAGGCGAAACAGAATTTTTTTATAGATATCTATAATTTATTCTTTTATCAATATTAACTTAAGTATCTGAGGTGAAAGGGCGCCGGGGACCGATTGTTAAATTGTTTTTTTGTTTTTTACACTTTTCTCCAGTTTTAGGCCTTGTACTATTAAGTTGTCTGAGTTTTTTTACTTGGATCGGAAACACTTCCTTGGCTTCCGCATCTTTTGATTTTTCTGGCAGTGGAACTTTTTTCAGTTTTACTCCTTTTAAATTTTCGACAGTAATAATCGGACGAGGTGGAGAGTTTTCATCAAAAATTACCTTCTTTGAAGACTTTCCTATTCTTACCCAAGAACTGCTGGAAGAGATAAAACCAGGAGGTGGTAGAGGTGGCGGTGTAGGAATGAAATTCTTTCCTCCCGAGACCGGAACCGACGGAATAGATTTGGCATTGTTCGAAAACACTAGCGATAAATCTTTAATACTTGTCACCGCATTATTTAGCTCACTTCTTAACGAGTTTAAACTATCGCACTGCAAACTTAACTGTTCCTTAATAAAGTCTAACTCACTATTCATTTTATTCCATTGGTTTCTATACAATATATTCTTTATGTAATTTTCTTCATGGATGGCACCAAAATGGTGAGTTATCAAATCCATTAACTCTTGTGAATTTTCTGTCTGAGTCGTAATGTCTTTGTAACTTGGCTGTTGATTCACAATGGTTTTTATTTGGTTTGAAATAAAATCAAGAAAATGTAAACAATATTTCAACACTGTAGTAAGCACAATACATAGAAATGAGGCTATTTTCTTTTTGATGTTGCTTTGCTTCACCATTTCATACAACTTTTCCCCATTGAGCTCTCAGATTCATTTATTTACTTCATTTTAATACTCTAGTAGCAAAGCAACTAGTAATATCAAAGGTGATTTAAAACTAACCTAATTTAAACATACTATTTTGAAAAGCAAAACTACATTGTTTGTAAATAAAAGTAAAGGGCAGGATTCCAATGTAACTATGAAGCATGTTTAGCAACAATAAAAACATTTGATTGGATGTAAGAATATGAACATGCATCACATGTAAAATTTAATGCCTAATCTATTATTCAGGTTTTGTTTAACAGATTAAATCTGGAAAAAACAGCTGTGAATAAGAAATATTAATTTTGTAAATTTGATAGTTGCTTTGATCTGCTTTGATGGTATGAAGGTTTACATCCAAAAATATGGATGGTTTTATAATTTTTTTACTTTTTTATTTCTTTTCCCTGATGGAAGGTAATTTTGTTTCTTGTTGTATGAGTATAACTTTTTTTGAGACATACCAAGGTGCGTGTAAAGGTTCTTAGTGTTGTTTTAATGAAACCTTTGAATAAAAACAAGTTATGAAAAAATTAGATTGTAAAAAATAAGCGTGCACCGGGAAATGCTACTTTTGATACTAGTAATGAAATATACTATTCCTCAAATCATAGAACAAAATTTTTAGTGTATTTTTTCTTCAGTTAATCATAAACATTTTTTTTAGATTGCTGAAAATATGGTTACATAGATGAAGTAAAACATGGAACATAAATAAAGTAAATTAAATGTTTATAACAATTTTATTGAAAACCACCAACAAAAATAAATATTTTTTAACCGTAAATAAATTATTAGAGATCCAAAAATTATTTTTAAATGGAATGTTAAGTCAAAAATATTCAGTCTCTGGTACTTCTTGATTGTAATGAACTGTACCTGAAAAAAAAGAAATTTGGTCAATGCAGTTTGTTTAATAGTTATAAACATGAATTATTTACAAAATCTATTCTTTAAGCTTAAACTAAAAATAGGCTAATTAGGTTTTAGCTTAAAATAGTATTCATCCCACTCTTGACTCAACTCGACTAAAAACTTTACAAAACCCATGAAATTGATCTCTCACTAAAACCTCAAAAACATTCTTAAATACGATGCTGAAATTACCAGTATTGAAACGAAACACACATTAAAGCAGTCATAAATGCAACAATTACTGATTTACTAATAATTTAAATAATAATTTCTAACAAGCCATGGCTCTTATCTGGGCCTGGAGTCCACCGTGTAGATCAACTTTGTAACAAACATTTAAGAACATGATTTCCAGTTTCCTTTTAAAAAATTAGGCAAGGATGCACAATTTTTATTTCAGCGGCAATTTTTCGATGCGGACAAAATGAGAGCAAAATGAGTTTGTGTGACGCCATTGTCTTCTCTTGAGGGAACACCATTACCACAACTATACGAAGAGCAGTCATCGGTGTTCGTGGTGTAGTGGATAGAGTATAGTAGTGGAAAGTTTTTGTCTGTATCGAAAAACCGCAGCTGAAATAAAAATTGTGCGGTAAGGATTTGGTTAGGTAACCCAATGCTGCTTACCGTAGCCTCACCTAACTAAACGTAACCTAACTAAATTTGTTTGCGTTGGGTAGGTTAGACAATAGACAATTAATCTTTATTTACAAATTCATTAAGAATAGTAGTAGCGTCAATTTACAATTTTTTCTAAATATGTGGTTGATGTGTTGTTTGGTCAAAGATCTGTTGGTAGTATTCTTTTAAAGAGTAAAAAGGTCGATTAATGAGCCATTGATGCAAAGCTGGTTTGAGCTCATCTTCTGTCTTGCTTCTTAGATCTGGTGGTAGCTTGTTGTAGATTTTCATTCCTGCGTATGAAGGTTTCTTTTCAAACTGTGCCGTCCGATGTTGTGGAAGGTTGTACTGCATGGTGTTTCTCAGGTTGTGTTGGTGCATTTTGCCACGCCTTGTAAGGTTATTTCTTACTGCAAATAACACAACTTCCTGGATGTAGAGTGCTACAAGGGTACTTTGAGTGACCTGAATGCTTCCCTGCAGCTGTCGAGTCTGTGGAGTCCTGCAGTTATTCTGACTGCCTTTTTTTGTTTTGTGAGAACTCTTTGCATGTTAGTGGCAGAGGTTCCACCCCATGCTACAAGTCCATATGTAATGTGCGACTCAAAAAGTGCAAAGTATGCTACTTTTGTTATGATGTCATCTGTTGCATTTTTTATATGTTTAAGAGCATAGATGCTTGAACTTAATTTTTTACAAATATTGTCCACATGAGGGGTCCTGGTTAAATTCTTGTCGAGTGTCATGCCCAAAAACTTAGCTTCATCTTCCACTTCTACATCTGGAAGTCGTGGCACTTCATGAGATTTACGGCCAAAAGCTATTTGAGTTGTTTTAGACATGTTTACTGCGAAATCATTGTTGTAGCAGTATTGGTAGGCCATACTGAGTGACACATAGGATTTTACTTCTAGATTTTTAGCTCGTGGTTCATTAAACACTAAGGTTGTGTTGGCGTACCATCACCATCAGCGTACATAAGAGTAAGGCAGTCGTCTCCTATTTGTTGCGGCAAATCGTTGGTAAAAAGAATAAATAGTACCGGACCCATAACAGACCCTTGGGGAACTCCACGATTTATTCGTTGAAAACTTGACCTTGCTTTTCTTATTTGGCTGTTATCTCTGTGCCTTAGTTCTACAAACTGACTCCTGCCTGTAAGGTATCTTTGAAACCATTCTCCATTGTTAGGTTTATTATGGCTAGGTTATATTCAGTTTTACAAGATTGTTTGGATTACTAGTTTTTTCAACACAAACGCACACATGCATAGGATTGATACTTTTTGTTTCCCACAGTTTACTAAATTTTAACTCTTATTTTCATGTAAATAAAACAACATCATTGTCTTAAAAAATATATATCTACTCAGCTCGAGGATTTACAAGGCAAGCTTATGAACTAACTTGTGGTTAAGAGTCTCTGATTTCGTTACGTAAGGGACGGTTTAATTCCCGGCACATCCACAACACATATGGGTTTGGAACTCTTTCCCAAGTGTTATTTGAGTACACTGCACATTGCCTCTATTTTAAAAATACCACTAGAATCAACTTAAAGAATAATGGCAATGAAACAACATTTCTCTCATCAAAACACCAAGTATGTAAAATCAAAATGATTGTCTAATTTGCATTGATCAAATGCATACTGTAAGTACCTCATGTGGCTTTGACCCTAGCCACATAAGTGTTAAACGGTGAGCCGAGGTAGTAGTGTCCGTCGTGCTCCACAAAGTCCGAGACTCCTAGCAGTCCGTCAGTGGCGTGCAAGCTACGGCTGATCTTGCCTTCCTTGGTCAATAGCAGGACGGTCGTACGCTTAACACTGGGCGACGGTAACGACTCAAAATGTCCAATCTAGAAAATATTGTTCATTTATCCGTTAACTCTTTACAAAAATGTTTAGAGCAGTTCTATGGGGTATTGTTATAAAAATTCATAATCATAGTTGATCCTAACAAATCTAAGAAAAGAGTTTGGTTGGAACTGGATGGGCTGGTTGTAGGTTTTATTGATTTTATCAAAATAATTATCATGTGTTATGATATATTAATGAATTACGATAATTTCCTTCTCAATAATTATCTCACAACGTGTAGTTAATATGCTCTCAAATTAAAACACAATTTTTGTCAAACAACACTTCACAGTTTGACAAAAACAGTGTTCTGATGTGAAAAAAATGTCACGGGGATCACTGGAGACAATAATGATGTCTTTGTGAGCACAGAAGATGCTGTAAATTGTTCACACAGCGAAAAAAGATAATGGTGTTTTCAACATCATGGGAGACATATATGATCTTAAAAATACTTAAAATGTAAATAAAAATAAAATTATTGATGATAGTTCAAATAATCAACATTCTAAGGTTATAACATATTTAACAAACTTAAGGCCTAAGTAATAACACCAAAAGATTGTCAAACTTAAAAAAAATGTTTTTCATATGGCTCGAAAAATCATTAAAATCAACACAAAAGAAATACATTGTCCATCTAAATCTAAGTACGGTAATAATTGGGGCTACATAACAACTACCCCCCCCCCCCCAAACCCAAACGTTGTTTTTGTGCTAGTAATTTCAAAAATGCTTGTAAACCAAACAAAGGCGGTCAAATTGAATATGATAAACCTTGTCTAAAAAATCACAACTAAAATACAATGTTTTCAGTGCACAGACCCTCATAACTCTTTGGCTCTCTGGCCAATTAGTAACAGGATGACCCAAAATTCCATTCAAAACAAAATAGATTTTGTCCTTAGCCTATCAATTAATTAATGCTATTTAACAAATGGTCAAAGTTAGATAGTAAAAACATCAGGGTTTAACGTGTTCTCCTCAAAGAATTAAAATACCAATTTTAAACACAAAATCAGCTAGGTAAACAAGAAACTCGTAAATTGCAATAACAGTTAAAGAAGAAAACTAATTCTCAACCAACCAGATGTGCAGTCTTCTTTAGCACCTCGTGGGGATACAAGTCCCTGAGCAGGGAGACGGCGCGCTGACCTAGATACATGAGCCTTGCCAGCAGCTTGCGCACCAGCGGGTACGGCGCCAGACGCTCTACCATGGAGGGATGATCCATGTCTCGAGGCAGCACCAGACTCAAGACAAACCCACCACGGCCGTCTCTGTGAATGTTGTCGGGACAACCTGGCAGTCGGTCAACAAACACCTCGCTTTGGCCTGCCTTGGGTCCCTTCAGGTGGTACCTTCAAACATTTGAGCCACGTTAGAATAACTGGAGTCAGGGATACAAAAATTATGATAGTTATTACAGAAATTTTCTATAAGATTAGGTAAAAATCAGTTTTCAAGTTTTGGATTCAGATTCTAGATCTCATCCTTGAAAACTGTAGTGTATACAATAATAATGTACCATAATTTTGCCATTGTTACGATATTTAGATTTGTTTTATAAAGAGTTGGCAATATGTTTTGCATTTGTGTCCTGACTGCGATCAGGCGACTGTGACGTCATATCGTATGATTTCAATAAAGCTCCCGGATTGGCTACAACCCATCACGCCACTATTCCCTCCACGTTTAACCGCCGTTCCAAAAGTTTCCTTGCTCTCCAGTCCTCAAGATTCCAGCAAACCGTAACCATGTAGTCGGCCGGGTTTTATTTAATTCCCCAAATGGTGTTTTTATTTCAAGTCATTGCACCCCAAACGTTCCAGTGGCGACGAGGTACGAAAATGACTCAACGCGTGAAAAGTTTTTAAGTGATTTTAAGTGACAATCGAAGTGCACCGTAGAAAGGTACGTGTGTTTTTAAAAGTGACAATTGAACTTCTACTGCACCGTAGGAAGGTACGTGTGTTTACAGAAGAATTCGGTCAAGTTAACTTCGAACAGTGCGTGTGAGTGTAAACATTAATGCCGCTTGATGAGAACCTTATTGATAACTTTGGAACTTTATTAAATTTCAAGATGTCGTTCATCGGTGCAATCGGTCCTTTTGATAATTCAGAAGAAACGTGGGACTCATATATCGAGCGTTTTGAATTGTTTGTTACATGTAACGATATTACCAACGCTAAAAAGGTTAGTACGCTTTTGACGGTTGTCGGAGTGAAAACTTATAACCTGCTTAAAGACCTATGTACACCAGACAAACCTGCTACTAAAAGCTACGAGGATATTGTACGGATCATTAAGGGACATCTTCATCCAAAACCATCATTTATTGCCGAAAGGTACAAGTTTAGTCTACGAACACAATTGGAGCATTAATCAGTCGCTGATTACATCGTCAACCTGAAGAAACTCTCTGTCAACTGCGAGTTTAAGGACAAACTACCGGATCATCTTCGGGACAGGATCGTAAGTGGGTTGAGGGACGACGCCACCAAGAAGAGGTTGCTGGGCGAAGAAGATCTCACCTACGAGAAGACGGTCCAAATAGCCACGTCGATGGAGTTGGCAGCGAGAGACACCGCGGCCCTGACCTACCACAACATGGGGGGAGGAAGTCGTCTCCACAACGTCGCTTCGAAGCAGCAGCAGCAGCAGCGGAAGCCGTGGCAGTGCTCAAAAAGTGAAGTAAAGTGCTATTGTTGTGGTAAATCTGGTCATTTAAAAAGTGAGTGCCGTTTTAAAAGTTTATCTTGCAATTTTTGTAAGAGGAAAGGCCATTTAGAAAGTGCGTGTCTGATGAAGAAAAACAATGGTGAGTCACAATCTAAATTTGCATTTAATGATAAGCGTAAGGATGGACAAAAGAACTTTACACCTAAGTTTACCTCTGGTAACAAGTCTCATAAGTATAAGCAAAACTATGTAGAGAACACAGGTGTCAATGACAATGACGATGATTATAGTGATTTAGCTAATTTATTTTCCATCAATGATGAGGAAACTAAACCGAGGGATAGAATAAAACCTATCACGGTTAATCTTAAAGTAGAACATACTGTATTGCCATTTGAGGTTGACAGTGGAGCATGCGTGTCAGTAATTTCTGAAAAGTGTTATAACGATAATTTCTCTGATCTCGAATTAATGCCCACTAATTTGGTTTTGAGCTCCTATACAAACCAGCCAATAAAACCTGTAGGAAAACTTAACGTAAATGTACAGCATGAATCTGAGCATAAAAAGTTGACTTTGTATGTTGTGTCTAAAGGGGCTAATCCTCTAATGGGAAGAGACTGGATTAGGGAACTAGAAATATCGATCCAAATCCCTAAAGAAAATAGTTTGAACACGGTTGAAAAGCTAGATCAAAAACCAGTAATTGTCAGTAAACTGTACAGTAAATTTCCTGAGGTATTTACTGATGTATTAGGTTGTTACAAGGGAGATGCAGCTAGATTAGAGTTGAAGGAAAATGTAATTCCTAAGTTTTTCAAACCCAGACCTATGCCATTTTCGATCAAAAGTAAAGTGGAGTCTGAGATTGATCGATTAGTAAATAATGGGATTTTAACTCAAGTTAGCAATAGTGAATGGGGAACTCCAATTGTGCCTATTTTGAAAAAGGACGGAAGTATAAGAATATGTGGCGATTTTAAAGTAACGCTCAACCCCTATTTAGTAGTCAATCGCCACCCAATTCCAAGGATTGAGGACATTTTTAATAATTTACAACAAGGGGAGACATTTTCAAAAATCGATCTTTCTCAGGCTTACACTCAGGTAAAGTTAGACGAGGAATCAAAGAAGTATTGTACAATAAGTACATCGAAAGGATTGTATATGTAACAAAGGGGGCAGTCAAACTAGAGAACTGTCAATAGGACAGCCTGTTTTAGTCCGTGATTACAGGGGAAGAAATAAATGGACACAAGGTGTAGTGATTAAAGTGTTAAGTCCTGTATCTTATTTAGTAAAATTAGACTCAGGTATTGTATGGAAGCGCCATATTGACCAGCTGGTCGGGTTAAACACTAAGGTAAATTTAAATGATCAACAGAATGATATTACTAGAGAGGTAGTGTTGCCTCCAGCTGAACCCATGTTTGACCAGGATGTTGGTAACAATGCTCAGTCAGCTGGTCGGGCTTCACCCATGAGACCGGAAATGCCGAGTACACCTCGTACTCCAGGACGTAGTAAACGTAGTAGTATGCGCTCATCGCTTACTCCACCGGACGTGACCTTTACATCACCTGTACGATCAGCTGATCGACCCAAACAAGCATCACCATTGAGGCGATCTGCCAGAGAAATAAAACCTCCTGAAAGGTTGAATTTGTAAATAGTTATTTCTGCGTTTTGTTTCCAATTTTAAAGCGTTTTTAATGTTCCAAGGTTGCTTGTTTTAATGTTTATTGTTTTTAGTCCACTGTCAAATGTACACCCGTGTGCTCCTTGATGAGGCAGGTGTGTGAGTAGTCTTAATCTCTTCGTTTGACCTTTGAGAAATACAATTTCGATGGTGGCACTCTTGAAAATTGTGCGTTTGAACGCTGCGGGTAAAAAACAAAATGGCCGCCATTTAAAATGTTTAAAGTCAAATTCCATGAAAACTAGCTATTAAAATAAAATATTGCAACACATTATTTAAAGTCCTTTTTATTCCAAATCGAATGACACTTTATTTGCGAAAATAGGATAATAAATAAAAAAGTTATGTAACTTTTGTTATTAACCGTGTTATTAACCGTAATGCTAATTATCAAAATGGCAGTCAATTTAACACCACAAAGTTAAATTCCATAGAAACTAGTGACAAAAACATTATAAAAGTTACATAACTTTTTTATTTATTATCCGATTTTCGCAAATAAAGTGTCGTTCGATTTGTAATGAAAAGGACTTTACATATTGTGTTTCAAAGTTTTGTTTTAATTGCTGGTTTTCATGGAATTTGACTTTAAAAAATTTTAATGGCCGCCATTTTGAAATTCGATGAGCCTGATCAAAGACTTTTTCGGAGCATGTTTATAGTTGTAGACTTAAAGTTTATACCAAGTTTCATAAAAATATCTTTAAGGGCTTTTGAGTTATAAGTTATTTTCAAAAAAATCAAAATGGCGGATTACGGCTAAACTTAGCCGAAATCAAAAAAAATTATACAACATTTTGGACTTATTTTTGCACATAGAATCTGAATCTGCACAGTCCACTATGCTTTAATGAAACACCCTTTATTACCTTTTGAAATATTTAACTGTCCTGGGACATTACATCCACCCTGATTAATTTTATTTATGAAAAATATAAAATTATGTTTGATGAAATAATGGTTGATCCTACATAAAAACTGTAATCATATTTTTTGTGCAGATTTAAAATAGCTACATTTTGGTATCAACAATTCTTTTGTAACCCTAACGGTTACTGATATAAGTAAGAAAACAAGTTTGCGATGGCGGCCATTTTGTTTTTTACCATCCGGCGTTCAAACGCACAATTTTCAAGAGAGCCACCATCGAAATTGTATTTCTCCAAGGTCAAACAAAGAGATTAAGACTACTCCCACACCTGCCTCATGAAGGAGTACATGGGAGCCTGTATATGTACATTTGACAGGGGACTATTTGTCTTATTTGATTGAATCATACAATATTGTTTTATGAAAAAGTGTTTTTGGTTTTAGGCTATTTAATGATTATTTAATTGGTTTGATGTGTTGATAAAAATTGCGTATTTTAAGAAAAAAATATTTTAAACTTAAAGGGGAGGAAATGTAGTGTATACAATAATAATGTACCATAATTTTGCCATTGTTACGATATTTAGATTTGTTTTATAAAGATTAAAGAGTTGGCAATATGTTTTGCATTTGTGTCCTGACTGCGATCAGGCGACTGTGACGTCATATCGTATGATTTCAATAAAGCTCCCGGATTGGCTACAACCCATCACGCCACTATTCCCTCCACGTTTAACCGCCGTTCCAAAAGTTTCCTTGCTCTCCAGTCCTCAAGATTCCAGCAAACCGTAACCATGTAGTCGGCCGGGTTTTATTTAATTCCCCAAATGGTGTTTTTATTTCAAGTCATTGCACCCCAAACGTTCCAAAAACATAGCAGTTACACAAACCTAGTCGAAGCTTGAAAACCACTAAAACAACCACACAGAGAACTGTTTTGTAGTAAAACAAAAATCTAAACAAATGTCCTTAACAATCTAATAGCAACAAATTTTGAGAACACAAAGGACACACCTGCATAAGATGGTGGATAAAGCAAGACCTCTTTTATAACATTAACTCACTACCAGCAAAAATTAACTTTAATCAAAAAATTGGATTATAAATTTTATACTTCACCGGAAACAAAAAAAAATCTCATATTGAAAATTGTTAATAGGCACAAAGCCACAAGTATAACTTCCGACACCGAATTAACTGAAATTTCCCCCCAAAAAAAAATAGCTTAAGTTAAGCTTCATTTTGCCATTGTTACAACTGGAGCCTGCTTCCTCTCGTATGGTCAAAACAGTTTTACTTCTTTCTTCTTGTGTATTTGTGTGTGTGTTTAGAGTATGTATAAATGTGTATTGGGGTTGTAATAAATGATATTTAAATTGGTTCTATAAATTGAAGAAGGAAATTATTGTGTCTTGACGACTGCTATACCCAGGAATGTTTTTTTATAAAACAAAGGTTGGTAGCTTCTTTTCATTTGCATGTCAGAGCCCTAAAGCCTGAGCAAGGAACATATCAACCAAAGCAAGGGAAAGCTATAACAGTATACAAAAATCATTGTCGTGATAAGTTCAAGTGGAAGCACCACAACGTAAAACCCACAACATTGCTGCCTTGGTATTACAGTCTGTTGTGCTACCAACAGTGGCGGTTCAAAGGGGTGGTGGCTACAGGGGCTAAAGCCCCCTCATTGGACCCTAGAATTATAAATTCAAACATACATTTCATTATAAAAACGTAATGGAGGTTTTTGAACATAGATCTAGACCTTAAATATGGCTTTAAAATTTGAAATTTTCCTGGGGAGGGCCCCCCGAATCCCCTCCTGGTTATGAACACCCCGATAGCCACCCTTGACATGGCCCTAGAACCACCAATGGCTACCAATATGCCTCGCCCAACACCTTCAAACTTTGGAGGTGGTATTTAAATATTATATAGCATAAAGTTAATTTAAACCAAATTTTACTATGGGTTGTATTAAACTGGATCAAAAAGCACCTTTGATGTCACACCAACAAACATTTGATCTATGTAGAAAATTTGGGGAAAATTCAAAAAATTAATTTGCAAGTCGTGTAAATATCTCAATACTAACTTGAGCACCCTAAAGTTGAACGTTTCGCTGATGAGCAGAAAAGCCCCGTCTTCTGAGAGAGCGACTCCATTTGAAAAATGTAACTTGTCCAACAAAACTTTGTTGGTTTTTGATGACGGGTCATACTTCAGCAGCCTGAAAAATATAATGTGAGTTAAAAGAATCAGAGTGAATACTTTTAACAACTGTTCATGAATCAGGGCCTAAGGACATAACAAAACACTTTTGAAATGTGAAATTATTTAATGAGTTAGATCGGAAAACAATTTTTGCCAATCTCAAAACAAGCTCTAGAAAGGAATTAATTAGGAAGTAGAAGCGGGGGACCAGTTTTGATTTATTCCTATAAAAGTCTAGTGTTGTTTTTAACATATTTTTGTAAGGAAAGGTCTACCCTGGTCTTGTTACTATCTGATATCAGATCTTTTGTAAGAAAGCATCATTAATTAATAGCCCAATGGCAAATATGGTATCTGAGTCTGGTAACAATCTCACTTGGAATTAAACCAGGAACCTTAGGATTTAAACACAAGCACTACATACAACCACACAGATCCTCAGACAATGTTGAGGCCCGATGCACTTTCAAGGATCTAAGGAAAGAGTCATACTAAAAACTGTCTTACAAAACTATAGCCATTAGTCAATTAATATATTCATTTATATTTATTTCCATTTTGATTAGGTATGTACCCTATTTTATTGTTATCGTAGCATAGATCCTGCAAGCATGATATCAATAAATCAATGGATAAAAGTAACAAACCAGTATCGACAGTTCTTCCCCATTATACTTCCCTTAACATTGGCACTCAATTTATATTTTTGGATTATATATAAAATGGCATGTCTTGAGAAGAGATACAGGAACACTATTGAAGGAGGTAGGAGAATGGCAGCCGAGCGGGATAAGAGCACCTGGAAGGCTTAAAAGAAGATGGTGGGATAGCGTGTGAACAGACATCGCAAGAAAAGGAGCGGAAGTAGATGAGGCGACTGGAAAAGATGGCAAGCAATTGTTGGCGAGGCCAAAATCCTTCTAGCGTATCAAGTCAAGTCAAATATATAAAATGGCACTGTAATAAACAGAGACAGTGTGCAAACAAAATTAGATTTTTATAAAACCACTCACCTTCCGTTGCCGTTTAGTAGAGCGAGAAATACACCGTCATGTAAGTAATGAGAAGTGGAAGAGTCAGTCCAAAATATTGCGCCGGTATTGTCCACAGCTACAGAGTTAGGAATCATGGGTTTCTTGCCTTCAATCGTGTCATTCACTGACACCAAGTTCTTTGATTTACCTTCAACAAGAAATTAATCAATATAGCAGTAATACTTTAACACTGCATCATACGTAGTGAACAATTTAACGGGTTGATAACAACTACAATAACAACGATAAAATAAAATAACACTCAGTGTTTAAGTAACTATTTGAAAATAATAATAGTCATATTCGTTCAATAAAACAGTAGAGCCTATGTTATAGGGTAAGGTCATTTCGGATAACCAAAATTTCGGTAAAAAAAACATGAATGACTCAAACTTACCTGTAGCTAGGTCTACCTGGAAGATACCATAGTAAGCATCAGCCACGTACATTTGATTCTTTTTGTCAAAAGCCAATCCAAGTGGGCGTCCACATTTGGCCTCCTCGTGGAAACCCTCTGAAAAAAGCATAGAGGTTTAAAAATTACAGATAAAAAAAATATAATTTGGACTTTTCCTTAAAAATAATTCTAAAATAGCACAAATGGTGACAGACATAGTATAAAACTTATTTACCAGTTAGACATTTATTTAATTGTAAAGCATGTAATGTAAAATTTACCCTAAAATGAGATAGAAAAATCCTACTACTTTTCTTTAAAGAGGTTGGCACCTCCTTTTACCTTGCATTCGCCTGTCTACATGGGCCACTGAGGCCAGTGCATGGAACATATCCAGGATAGCAAGGAGAGAGCTGGTACAGTACAAGGGTGAACTGTACTGATAAAAAGTAGTAACAGTGACCAGGATCCGAACCCACGACATCGCTGCCTTGGGCCCAAAGTCCGTGGCCCTACAGACTGAGCCACTGACTCACCAAACTTCACTTTATCGATTAAAACACATTCAAACAGTCTTCAGATTACATTACAAGACGAGATGTCTACTTAAATAATCAAAAGATAATGGTAATGCTAAGTGATTGTGACATAAAAAGACTAATTAATTATTAGTAAGCTTTTGAGCTTTTTAAATTAAGACAGTTGAGATGTTGATTGTCCAAAGACTTCAGATGTTTAAATAATGACACAAACTAATTACATTTTGTAAAGACAAAATACTAAGGCATACACAATAAAAATACTAAAAAGAACCAATCTTTTTTTTATTAGGGCATTTTGTAAGTTTTCCTATAAAAAACTGGGCCCTTATCCTGATTTGTAGATACTGGTATTGGTATATCAATTTAGGCATAGTTTCAAAATGCTGAGGCTAATTCAGGTAGAAAATTTAAAAAAAATGTACTCAACAATCGTTTTCTTTCTAATAAAAAAATGTCTTCATGGAATAGATACCGGTAAATCATTGTACTCGATAACAATTCAATGAACCAAGAATGTACAAAAAAGACAAGAAAAGACCTAATCTCGGATCCTATTAGGTTATCTAATGATTAGGTCATCATAATTTTATTTGACATTGAAACTTTGAGCTTTGATTATTCGTTATCAAGGTGATTCAGACTAAACTGAATAAATGTTTTACATCAGAACATAAACTTACTTATTACTGTATTGTCAGTTTGAATATTCTTTATAATACTTTCATTTTGAGAAACTCTTTTAAACAGAAATCTGTAACAAGCAGATAAGTTACTTAGGCCTAGTTAAAAATTTAAAAGTTAAAAATCAATGTCACCATGTAATTTTAGCAGTTGGACATCTGATATTTATAACTATGTTGTATTTAAAGATTAATTAGTAACTTACATTTATTTACTTAGTAATTCAGTTATATAGTATGCACAAATACTAGAAAAATACTGGTATTAAAGTAAGGATCATAAAGATAAACAAATGAAACAATTGTAGTCCGAATCCTATACTAATAGCATTGAACATATGTTTTGGCAGTTCCGTTTAAGCAATGTTAAATTTTTTTTCGGGCCAAAAACGTAATTTGTTTATGTATTTTTCTAGTATTTGTAATAGTATGTCTCGTTCACTCAAATAAAACAAGATATGTTCATGATTTCCATAGCTATTCAATATCTATATATTTAATACACAGTTGTAACACTGTTTTCTCAGTAATTACTGGACCGATCTACAAGATTTATGTCTCAAATTAAAGGGGATAATGTGTAGATTTGCCGAACTTCGTTAGAATTTACGTTCTTTCTAAGGGCTACGACCTACAGCCCTTTAAAGGTCGAGTCAACACAATTCTTATTGAAGAATATAATACACAGTTTATAAATTATTCGTCAGCTGTTTAATGTTTGTCAGTCATTTGTTATTATTTTTATAACCTCACTTTCAGTATGCAATTATTAAACTTGGAGTTTCTGTTTATAAACACACGATTTTGATCAAGGAAAGTGTATTTGTTAACTTATTTTTGAGATGTTTTAGTTTTCCTGCAAAGTGATCTGAAGGAAAGTGGTAATTGAGTTTAAGTTTGAGTATGGAATGTGAAATAATACCCATAGTAGGGAACGGAATCTTATTGTTTTGATCAATATAATTTATTCTCTACGGCCACCAGAATAATCATGGGGAAATCCGCTTGCAAGTTGTACATACAATTGCTAATGAGTGGGAAACATACAAATATTTTATAGTAGGTGACGAATCTTACTCAAGATCAGTGTTAGACGTTCAGTGGTACCAAACTTTACCTTCTCGAGATGGCGAGTACGCTGGGATACGTGGAACTACAATATATCAGTGAATTTTTTTTCAAGTACACAGGGAAGTTGCTTGAGAAACTGTGACTTACAATTCGGTTCTGGCGAAGAAGTATGTGACTTGATGTGGCAATGTTGACTCGGGTCATTATAGCGTTATAAAACTTTATAATTAACCCCAGGGTGTGAAAAGTACAAAGAGAAAAAGAAAAGGTAATCATTAACCAGGCGTAAAGAGACATACCGAACAAAAAAAAAATGTAGAGAACCATCGAACTAAAAAGGTAAAGAGCAGTGTTAGTGCTAAATGTGCTCTGGAAGTCCCTACAAAAAAATACCAACTCTTTTGAATTGGGATCGTTAGATTGGATTTGTCACTACTTCAAATCTATGAATTTCGAGTCAGAACAGACAAACTGGGACACAAAAATGTTTTAGTTTTCCTGCAAAGTGATCTGAAGGAAAGTGGTAATTGAGTTTAAGTTTGAGTATGGAATGTGAAATAATACCCATAGTAGGGGACGGAAACTTATTGTTTTGATCAATATAATTTATTCTCTATAGCCACCAGAACAATCATAGGGAAATCCGCTTGCAAGTTGTACAGATAATATTGCTAATGATTGGTAAACGTACAAACATTTTATCGTAAGTGATTAATCTTACTCAAGATCAGTGTTCGACGTCCAAATTTTACCTTCTCGAGATGGCGAGTACGCTGGGATATTTGGAACTACAATTTTTCAGTGAACTATACCCTAACTATATTTGTTCGAGTAGGACACAGGGAAGTTGCTTGAGAAACTGTGACTTACGATTTCGGTTCTGGCGAAGAAGTATCTGACTTGATGTTTAAGGGCAATGTTGACTCGGATCATTATAGCGTTATAAAACTTTATCATTAACCCCATGATGTGAAAAGTACAAAAAGAAATAGAAAAGGTAATCATTAACCGGGGGCGTAAAGAGACATACAGAACGAAAAAAAAAACATGTAGAGAACCATCAAACTAAAAAGGCAAAGAGCAGTGATGGTGTTAAATGTGCTCTGGAAGTCCCTTCTAAAAATTACCAATTTTTTTGAATTGGGGTCGTTAGATTGGATTTGTCAGTACTGCAAATCTATGAATTTTTTGTCAGAACAGACTAACTGGGACACGAATATTTTTTCCTTATGTTGTCACAAGGGGAAGGTAAAATTAACTCCTTATCAACATTTTGAGTTTATGGAAAATCTTATCAACAGCGACTATAAAAAAAAGTATCAAGGGTCAAAAGAGACAGAAAACTATTTGAGTAAAATATAATACAAATCTGCATTTGAAATGGCCAGTTCTAAGTCTCACTTGAATCAACATCTTTCTGGTAGTGGTAGTCTACATAGTTTTAAAATCCACGACTCCTTTTCCATCAAATTGGACCGTTGATACCCTCTAACATTGAACAAAGTATGCCCTACTTTATATATACGCCGTAAACACAGCTTTTACTCACAGTATGGGTCAAAGATTCGTGAAATGCGACCAACTGCTGATGCGTGATTTACATGTAGGCTAAGTGACTATCTTTATTCCATACAACAAATGTAATGAAAAAAAGACGAATATAGGAATATACATGAGCAAATTATCTAAATATCATAAATAGCTGCTTATTAGGTTATCAGCATTGCCCAGTTCGTATACTATTTATTTTTCAAATGAAACTCGAATTAATATAAAACATTCATTTGGTTAAAATAATATATCGGTTTGATTAACATAAAATAGTTTATACAGGCAAACTATCAGTTCTATTTCATGTAAAAAATTAAACAACCCCTAAATAAAATACAAAGATAAACAGTATTTGGTAATTATTATTTCTTTAATTGCTGACAATATTCCCGTGGCGGAGCACGGGCGGTTAACTAGTTCATATTAAACAGTAGATTGCTGTTATTCTTTCTATTCCCTATTATTCATTATTTTGAAGGAAAACTGTCGTTTCTACTTTCAGTTTCATAATAAGTTTATTATTAACTAACGTCCTAAGAACTTATGATAGTTTTTACAAACAAATTTCAGTGAGACAATCTCCGTTTTACCGAAACATTACTTGCAAAAACTTGAAAACCTCCTGATTAATCATGATTCTAATTCTAAACTGCAGAACCATACGGAAACTAATATTTATCAAAAGGAAATTTTACTGTATATAAAGAGTTAAATCTAAATCTTACCACATTTTTGTCCAAACTTGGCAACAGGCTGTATTTTGTTTCCTACGATTTTGACGACATGGCCGCCATGTAGAGTTGTGTAAATTTCTCCGTTGTGCACTTGTATATCTTCTGGGCCATGGATTACATCTTCAAACAATTTTTCGGCTCCATTCAATCGTGAATTGACAGCCAACGAACCCTCCAACGGGACAGAAGGAGGTATGCTGTAACCCTAATTGTATTAATCTTTGTTTTAAATAACAGATACTTACTCTATGTAAAAACTAAGTCAAAAATTGTCTGCACATAACATTTGTAAAACACCTGTTTTAGCAAATTTCCCTATTGGAAAAAAGTGAAATCTATTGTGACAAAGCGCACAGCAAGCAGATGTGTAATAAAGAGACGATTGCCAGCGCAAGCGTTGACTCATCTTTGAGCTACTGATCGATATTTCTTTTGAACTACTTCCAAGTTATTTTTGCTAAACAAACTGTAATGTCTAAAAAATAGCGTGAGAGCCTACTTCTTATCAATAATAGGCCAAAACAGTTGAATGCACAGTACAAACAATGTATTTATGTAAGATAGATTTGTTACACTAGGCCTAGTGCAAATTTACAAAAAACTTTAAATTCTTCAAGATTAAGCTGATCTTTTAATTAGCAGTATTTGGACTAGCAGGAGTCAAGTGTATAAGTAAGAAGTGTGTGTTTTTTGAGAGCATGATAACCAGCTGACAACTTCCGGAAGTAGGCTTGGTACTTTTCTACTATACCGACCACACCTAATAATTATAACCTAACTTAAGGGTGGACCATGTGTTAGGTTAGGCTTTGAAGATATTGTTATTTAACTGATGCAACCGATCTACAATGTACGTTATAGTCGACTGATTTACCAGTCAACATTTTAAGACCACACAGCTAACTCCTCTTAACCCTCAAGGCCCCAAGAGCCATCTTATGACGTCATTAAACAGTACCATGACTTCCAAATTAAAGTGTACAAACCATACTGAAGCTATGGGGCTACCAGTGTTACTGCCACAGACCATCAAGTCTGACCAATGGTCAGGAGGTCTAAGTTTAGTGTGTTGTTCAATGGCCAAGAGATAGCATTACAGACCATTCAAATCCATGTTGTCTTTCTTTATGTGTGTGTTAATCTTGGTGCGAGGGGGGGTTCCAATTTTTAACTAAATTATTCAAGGGTGGCAACCCTGAACTGTACCATAAAAATTAACCTATGGTTGGGCCTCAACTAAAAAAAAAAGGTTAAGATAAAAAGAGTTACCTTTTATTGTTCAAAGGGTAGCGGTAGCAGGCATGTGTTAATTAGCAAAAATAAAGAAAACGATCTGATTGTTAGTAACATGCATAGCTGAGTTCAACTAGAAGCTTATTTTTCAAAGTTCATCCTGGTAAACTTTTATCGAACCTGTAAGCTTCAAATTCACCATCAGGAGGTATTCCCGGGATCACAGCAATGAGCAGTAAGAAAATCGACAATTTCGAAAGCTTATGGATTGCTGAGATTACAAAACCCATAATGAACCTGTAACAAAACATTAAAGAAATTAACATTCACATAAGTTAATCTAAACAAGGGCCTTTAAAATATGACAATTTTATTTTTATCATAAAATAATACTAGACCACCTAAGTTTATTAAAGTTTTAAGTAGGTCTAGGTTATGAATACTTACTTGAATACTTGTCTTCTACATCATTGACCGACAAGTCGGATAGATTGCGTCATGTTTTATTTTTATTTACATATTTACTAAACACTATACAAACTATAAATAATATCTAATATACTTTTTGTGGCAGACATGTCACGTTACAAAAAGGGGTTTGTTGTCCAACTCTTGCAAGGCGTACAATGGCCTATTCAGCAGTCCATCGTGAATCGCACTCTTAAAGTCTGGCAGGTCCATGTCACACACTCGCTTAGGCAAGGTGTTGAAAACCCTAATTGCCGAACGCGGGTAACTCCTCATCGTCTGTGCAAGTCGGCACCGAGGCATGTTGAGGTCTAGGGCTCTGCGGGTATTGTGGGTGTGGACCTCCTCCCTCCTGCCAAAGAGTCCCACCTTGTCCTTGAGAAGTACAAGGATGTCGAGGATATACTGGCTGAATACAGTGAGCACCCTATGTCGGATGAACATAGGGCGGCAGTGCTCCTTGTAGAAAGAGCATTTGTAGGCCTATGTATTTTGTTAGGTTGGAGCAAATATAATTTTAGGCGTATACCCTTCAAGATACAGTTCACACTTGAAGAACTGAAAAAACTTACAGTTAAACTCAAGATTAAGTTAACTTAAAATAAGCTCAACTTCAATCAATCAGCCATAGGAATTGTTTAGCCTATAGCCTTCTTAACTGTAGGACTGTTAAAAACCAGTTTTAAATTTCTAAGAGTCAAGGATTGTGGTTAGCGTATTGTACCTGAATAATGAATAATAAATGAATAAATGATTTTATTTCCATTAAAAATTAACAATGTATGAACATTTATAATATTGGAAATATAACTGACCACTTTAACAAGTTGTGTGGTCAGTAGAATAAATTATAATAATCTAAAAATCAACATCAAATAAGCCTCGATGCAGGAGGGACGGGTTAAATTCCCCACAAAACTTTTACGGGTTTGGATTGCTTTCCCTTAAAGGCGTTAAAACTAAAAACTGCCACTGGCAAAGACACAAGAAAAAAATAGAAAAAGGATTAAAACAAGAAAGAACTGTAATAACTTAAGTAGGCCTAACCCCACAGCCCTATGTTAAGTTTAGGCCTGTGCATGTTTAGGTGAGTCAATCGATGGCTTAACGTAGTTGATAGAGCCCAGACGGAGTGTGAGGGTACAGTTTCTTAACTGGGCTACGCTAATATCGATTGGAACTATCGAATTGAAATATTGATTAATAAGATAATTTTAAAACTAATCTAGGCTATTATAAAATTAATTTATCATAACCTAACCTAACCAACCAAACTTGCTGATGGCGAAAAAATCGCATGAAAGTTTACTAATCTGATTGATAGTTTCAATCGATATTAGCGTAGCCCAGGTAAGAAACTGTACCCGAGTGTGAATCCATGGCAGTGAAGTGGTGGATCCAAAAGTCTTTAAATTTTATCAATACAACTCGTCAATACAGTCACACCCTTCTACAGTATTGAAGAATTCTTTGCCTGTGATATTAGCCTAGTTTTTTAACTACATTGATTTTTGATTTTTCTGTGATTTTATATTGTGATTTTATCTTGTGTAAATTTCTAACTTGTAAAACTTTCATTGCTAGCTGCTTGCCTAGTGTATTATTTATTCAAGTAAGTATGTCGCCCACTGTGATTTAACTTTTTTATACTTAATTACTATTGCATATATTATTTAGTAAGCCTGTCTGTATTATTCATAATTTATCTTATAAGTACCTATTCTTTGTGCATGTAAACCTTAATTGATGTAGCTTGATTGCATGTACACTTGTTTACTATATTGACATGATCTATTGCATTTTATATATAATGTTTAATGATCAAATAAATCTATCTATCTATCTATCAATACCGATTAACCACTTTAATCACTGCATGTGCACGTTCAGGACCTAGGCCTCTGTGGACGGGCAAATGCAACATCAGGTAGGCTATAAAAAGCTGCAAAACTTATAAGAAAATGTGAATAAAATCTATTCTTTATGCATTTAATACAAAGAAAGCAAACTCAGGGTCAGATATTAAAACAGTAAAAAGCTGACAGTAAAAATATACAGTTAACTTACAACTAGGTTAGACATACAGCACAAATTATTAAAAAATTTATCATTGTTAGTCTACATTTGCTCAGGTTTTAGTTTGTTGCTCTTGTCAAGATTTTTCTGTTAAGTAATATAAATACGTCCCATTGCATGTTTGGCTTGTCCCTTAGATATTAGTAACATTGAATATTTATTGTAAACATAATTGTAAATTGGTTTGTTTGGACCGTTGGAAGCAAAATAAAATAAAGCACTTTTACTTTGAGAAGAAAATTTGCTACTTCTCAAAAAGGTACACACAAGAATGCAAGATTGTTTTGCATTCGTCTAACTTATATTACCTATTAATATTATCTAATGCCCTACTGTTCTTTACTTAATTTTGGAAAGGCAGTTCATATTAGTTATTGATGAATTAAGTTTATTGGCTACCTAGTTATAAGATGTGTGTCTGAGGTTAAGAAACTATCTTAGTGGAAAGCAATTATTTAATAAAGTGTTGCCAAGACTCTTAAAACAATGTTAATATTGGACCTAGACATGTACTTAGTTAAAATATAAGACAATAGATTCCAGATTAGTAATTTCTGATCTAGCCTTTGGCTTTTCCTACCTCCTAATAAATAAGAATACAACCATAAAGTTTTGTTAAGAATTTTTTTTTTATTATAGAAATAATTATGTAAATCACACAACAAAAGCACAAACAGAACATAACCTTATAGGAATAATTTAAAATACTGTAAGATTTTTTTTACTTACCGGTACTGGTTTGTTTTTGTTACTTAAAATTGTCTTCTAAAAGTTATGTATTTAATTGACAATTATTAACTAATTTTTCATTTTCAGAGTTATTTTGTTCTGGAGTGAAATAAAATAACAACGCCAACTAATAGAAAAGCTAACAAGTGAGCACTGAGCAACGAGCAGTTGATGAAATGTCATTAATAGTAAACAAAGACAAAAAGTGACCCACCGATCCAGTCTGGCAGTCTGCTATGCTTCTGCCTTCTGCCTGCCTTCTGCTTCTGCTAGTCTGCTAGCGACAACCAAGCTTGCCAATGTAAAAACTAAAAATAGATAAGTTAGTTTCTTAAAAGTGAAATGATACTATTGACTTTGTATGTTAATGTATGTTGTATGATTGGCAACGAAATCAAAATTTTTGAATCTTATCTTACAAATCGGCAACAAAAAGTTTACGTAGGAGACGCAAAGTCTGCTGCTACCGAGGTGATGTATGGAGTGTCACAGGGGTCGGTCTTGGGACCTTTTCTGTTTTTAATAATGGTAAATGACTTGCCCGAAAACATATCTGCAAAAACAATCATGTTTGCGGACGATGCAACTTTTTTTGCATCTGGAAAAAATCATGAGGTCTTGTCCAACCAAATGAATACTGTAGTTTTAAAAGAAGCATCTGAGTGGTATGCTGCAAATAAATTCCTTCTTAATGTAAATAAAACACAGAACATGACTTTTTCTTTAGATTTAACCACTCTTAAAAAGGTAGACAATGATGTGAGTGTTAAACTTCTAGGGTTTTATCTGGACCAAAAGTTAGGTTGGGATGATCATGTTGCAAAAACCTGTTCAAAACTATATCAAGGGTGGTTAACATGTTAAGATGTCTGAAAAGTAAGCTTCCATGTAAATATCTTCGATCGTGTTATTTTGCTTTCTTTCAAAGTTTGTTGCTTTATGGTTTGTTGTATTGGGGTAGTAGCTCCAAAGTTGAGAATGTGTTAAAGGTTCAAAAAAAAGCTGTTAGGATCTTGGCAAACGCAGTTTCTGCAGATCACTGATGTAGACCACTGTTTAAACAACTTAAAATCCCCACTGTTGTAAATATGTATATTTTTATTTGTCTAGTGTATGTGAAACGTAATTATAAAAATCTTACGCTGTCGAATCAGGTCCATGACCACTTTACCAGGGCAAGTCACAAAATATTTATTGATAGATTTAGGCTTAGTAAAACCTCAAAATCATTTAAAGTCATGAGTGTTAGGCTGTTTAACAAACTACCTCCTAAAGGACAAACAGCACAAGAAATTTTTAGTAAAACTGTTTTTGACTGGCTTGTAGAAAATCCATTCTACCATGTTGATGAGTTTTTAAATATGTCATTGCACGACTCAATTCTGTGTTTCAAGTAGTAAGTTAATTTTGACAATCATGTTGAATGTGACTTAATTTAGGCTATTTTAAATGTGACACTGTCTATTACATGTATTATGTTTAACGACAATAAAAGATTCTATTCTATTCTATTCTATGTATTTAAAGCATTAAAGTGATGAAAATTGTTGACTTTCTATGATTTATAGTCAATAGGAATGATACCTTGTTTCCAATGATCTACGCGTTTAAAAATCAATCTTTATATGCTATTTTCCAAAATTTCCATAAACTTTTTTGCACATTTTTACTTTCTCCCCTACACCATAGTATATGGAGAATAGTATATTTCATTACTAGGACCGAAAGTGGCATTTTCCGGCGCGCGCTCAAGTTTTTGTGTAAGGCGAAGCCGAACACAGGGAACACCAATTTCACGTGCGAGGCGAAGCCGAGTACGTGAGAGCTATTTTCACGTAAGAGGCGAAGCCGAGGACGGGAATAATGAAGCAAGTGCCGGATAATAACTTTCGGTACGAGTTATAAACGATACTTTTCATCACGACGCAAAAATACACAAACACAGAATAGCAGACCTCATCAGTAATATTACAATAATTATCTATCAAACAATTTGTTGAAACATAAAAATAAAATAAAATTTTCTAAAAGTAAACCTATGTTCATTTTTGTTTGATTTTTAAAACATAAAATAAAATAAAATATTCTAAAGGAAACCTTCGTATATTTCTCAATACTTCAAACATCAAAATAAAAGATTAAAACGACTTTGAACAATACACACAGCTGATTTGAATCATTAAATTAAACCGTAACAAAACACTAGCGCGCGTAGTGAATAAATGGAAAACTAATTGAGAGCGAGGGAAAGTAAATTTAGAGCGAGGGAAAATCAGCTGATCAATTTTCCCTCGCCCTAAATTAGAGCTTGGGAAACGGCTACTTTCATTGATGTCAGCTGTTATCGAAAATAGTTACTTTCGGTGAGGAGTGATGAAAAGTATTTTTTAAATCTAAATTTTCGAGTTTGAGTGGATGTATCTATTTTGCCCCTCCCCTGAACCCAAAAAGGTGGTTTTCGAAGTTATGTCTGTGTGTATGTGGTGTACAGAGGTACACACTTGTGGTCCGATTTTGATTAAATTTGTTATGTGGATACTAATCCATTGTATCTCCCAGGTAGGCGGGGGTAGACTTCCGTATCTGTTGGCACAAACGTGTGAAAATATCGTTATTGGATTGTTTCATTCGATATATTCATTGGGTTGTTTGTGCCAACAGATACGGAGGTCTACCCTTTTCTTATAATAATTGAACCAAATGATTTTGGTTAAAATTTACTATGTTAGAATCCCTTTGACTCTTAAACAAGATGGTATTATAGACTGGCTTAAGATGGTCAACGAACATTGGTTTATCTCTATCTTATCTCCCAGCCCAGCTGTAAAAGGATGGAGCCTGACACGCCATCATGGCTGCAGGCTGCAGTACAGTACTCTTTGTTCAGGTTCAGATTGCCTCACAACACTAGAAAGATGTGTTAAGATTGAACAGTGCAAATGAAATTTCTAATTTCCTCTGAAAGTAGAGAACTCTTTAAAACTACAGCATACCTTTGTCTGTATCTGTGAATCCTAAGTGGACAAATAAAGGCTCTGGTCTTACCCTCATTCACTTGTCTTGTAGTTTATTCACCATGACCATTTTCTTCAGCCTATGTGATGAGTCTGGCAGTTTTTACCTGAAGATCAATTTTCCTACCACTTATGAAAAGAGTTAACATGTCAGCACCAACAATGTGTGTGTCCAATGAAATGCCTTAAGAGTGGAAAACATTAAGATAAGGGGTTGTGTGTAGGGCAGCAGGAAAGTGTGTTAACCCTCTTAAAAGTGGTCTAAATCACTACATAGACTCAGTGTTGGGGATCACCTATAGAGTGCAATTTTTTAACCAATAAATCAAGGAAATAAAATAATGTTTTCTGCATGTACAATAAGTTAGATCTGCATGAAAGCAGCTACATGCCTAATTTCTGAGTGCTAAGAGGGAAGTATGGACAATTTAATTTGTACTCTATTTTCATCATAATTGATGATAATTCCCAATTTCTACATTTACATTTCTTAGGTGATGAATTAGTAAAAGTTTACCCAAGTGAAGAGCAGGTAGAACAACTAGTTTTAAAACAATTCTTTCAAAGTATTTACAATCCTCAGTCATTATTTATGTGAATTTTCATTTAATTTTTGTTTGAATGAGTGAAAGAATTATTTTTAGTTTGGAAAGAGGTGGATAACATTAAGACAACCAACACCAAACTCAATGATAAAAATGTTTATTTCACACATTTAATACAAATAAATGCACAAACAAAAACATTGACCTTATTACTAATAAAAAAATCTTATTTAGGCCTATTTCAAATGAAAATAATATTATGCATTGTAAAGAGCAGAGTGACAAATTATGAAAACCATTCCTTTAAGTTAATGTATATTTACCACACAAACATTTAAAGGCTGGTTTACAAAAGTGGAGTTTGAAGACTTGGCTCACCTCTTTTTTTACACTTTGCAAAGAGAAAATTGATCATGAGTGGACGGACTTGTTAAGAAACTCCTGTTACAAAATGTCAAGTGAGAAAGGAGAATCATAATGTAATTAGAGAATTGGTAAAAGAAAGTTGTAGGTTGATAACTAAAAAGAAAAAACAAAAAAACTTAGAGGGTGTTGATTTTATACCTGATCACCAGGATCACCTGAAAATAGATAAAACCCGTATCTATGAACTCTTTACTTTCTACGTGATAAACGTAAGAGGTTATTTAACTGGTTCCCCTTTCGCTTGACATAATGTATTTTATACAGTAGAGTCCCGCAAACTCGGTGTAATTTGGACTGGAAGGGTGCTGAGTTTGTGAAATACCGGGTGATCGGGAACTAGGGTTAAAAATTTGAACAATAAAGTTTTTAAGCTTTTTAGTCGCATTTTTTATTTGTATTAGAAGTCAGTATTAAGTCATCAGATATAGCACAACAAATTCTTAGTACCAGTTGCGAATAATTTGACTTAAGCTGGCTTGAGTCCATGATTAACTCGGGACTCGAAAAATCACTAATTTTCTGAGCCAGGTGATTGCCGAGTTATCCAGACTGCCAGGTTATCGAGTGCCGAGTTTGCGGGACTCTACTGTACCTCAAATCTGCCTGTCATTTTTTTTCACTCACCTTTGATTCAACACAGAAGAATTTCATGCATTTTAAAACTTTCTTGCTAAACGAACCAAATAACTTAAAGTCACAAAAATAAAAGTGCTTTAGTAAGAATTAGTTCAGTTTAAGTGTTGTAACATATTTCAACATTTTCCGTAATCGTTTGGTAGTTTTTCATAAACAAAAGCTATGGTCAACTGCCTAAAAATCATTAAAAACAGTTATCTTATCGTGTGTCCTTGTTCTTATCAGTTTCAATATGTACATTTTTTCATTGATTTGTTATCCGTTGTACGTAGTTTGTAAATATGCTGTCAAATGATCAGGATTCAAAGGTATCAAGTGGGTATTTTTTGTTGGGCGTGACAAGTTAATTATTATTTTTTGTATATTCAGACCAAATTAAGAAATTTCCATATAACATTACTGATACATAACCAGTAAGCTATTATGAGTAAACTTGAACAAACCTTTATAGTTTGGCCGCTTAGAAAACGACCTGCGCGCTAATGCTAAACCAATGCTGGAGGAGGTTGCTTTCTAAGCGGCCGAACTATAGTTTTATGAATGAACACTGGAAGTTAATCAATGTGAAAAAGTCCATATGATTGGTTGTTTGGTTTATGAT